TTTAAATGGTACGTTGAATAGAAATTTAATTAAATATTAGAATTTTAAGTCTCTTTTTTTCCTGATTTGTGTCATTCTAACAGACAGCAGACGTCTCTGAGTTCTCTCTCCTTCTTCGTGGTTGTTCTGTTTCCACTGAGCTGCTGGACTTTATGTTGGCGAGTGAGACAGGATCTGTTTGGGCTTCACAGAGTTTAACCAACTTAACCAACTTGTTTCATATCTTTTATTGTCAGGTCTTAACCTTAATGTTTTGCTGTAGCGCCACCTCTGGTCCGTTTATTGAACAGATGATGACTGTTTTCTTCTCTAACCTGCAGGTGAGCTCTTCGCTCAGGCTCCGGTGGATGAGTATCCGGGCATCGCCGTGGAAACCGTCAGCGACTCCAGCCGCTACTTTGTGCTCCGTATCCAGGACGACAACGGTGGGTGAAACACTCAGTAGATGTGCTCACAGTTTAGAGGATTTGGACACGTCGTTCAGAGAAGCCTGCAGGTGTGTTTGTCGATGACCTCGTTGTGTTTGCTCCTCTGCAGGTCGCAGCGCCTTCATCGGCATCGGCTTCGGGGACCGAGGCGACGCCTTCGACTTCAACGTGGCGCTCCAGGACCACTTTAAGTACGCAGCGACTCCACACCGCATCAGAAACCGTCTCTGACTCGGCCCGGAGTGGTTCCTTTACCTGAATTATCTGTTTGTATCGTCCTCAGGTGGGTGAAGCAGGAAAACGAGTTCACCAAGCAGGCTCAGGCTCCAGACTCCACCCCGAAGCTGGACCTGGGCTTCAAAGAGGGCCAGACCATCACTCTCAACATCGGGGTACACAAACCTTCACAGATCATAACGGTTACCAGAAATAAAGAAATATAATGTCATAAAACGCAGGTGTAGATTTGTTTTGACAGCCACTCTGCAGTTTTAGTTCATGGTTACAGTTTTATTTTTATCTGTGAACAAACCAACACAGTGTTTTTTCTCGTCTCTTCGTCGTCCAGCAATCCAAAAAGAAGGACAGATCTCGTCCACAGAGCTCAGGTGGCCTCGGGCTCCTCCCACCTCCACCTGGTGGCAAGCTGGCCCCGCCCCCGTCATCCAGATCCACCAATCATAACACACAACCGTCAGCGGGGGGAAGTGACACCGGTAGGTGATCGGAACAACAACGATCAGCTGGAGCACTTTCAAAATCTCACAAACGGTGTCGGAAAAGTTAAAAAACAATGTTGTTGAGAGACATAAAAGAGCGTTTAAAGGAAACTGAACTCCAATAAATTCAGGAAATGCTCCTCGTGTCTCTGGTACAGTTTGTGAACAGAACTAAAAGGTCAGAGATGGAGCTGAGAGAGGCCATGAAGGGCCCTAAAAGTAATTGATAAAATCTTAAAACCTACCATCAGATATACAGGGAGTCTAAGGAAGCTCAAACCGGAGCGATGCGAGCAGGAGCGACGCGAGCAGGAGCGACGCGATCACTTTCAGCTCAGATCAGCAGATTTTTAGAACAGTTTCTGCTCAGCCACGTCTGATTTGACTGAAACTTGACACCACACATCGATATTTATAAAGTTTTAGCTTCATATGTCAAATACTTAAACTTTTACTGTTATTTCTTATTATGCTCTTAGTTAAAAATATTAATTCAGAATGAATCTGAACATTTAAAGAACCATTTTGAAACCACAGAACTCTGATCTGCTCGACTGTTCGCTGATGTGTTTGTAGTTGCTCCATCAGTTATTAAATTCCTGCAAAAATAACTTTCTTTTCATGTTTGTTGTCGAATATTTCACATTTAAAGTATTCTACTACTGACCCCCAGCTACGTGTGGTTCAGAACATATCACTGGTTGACTTCTGCTTTATCAGGTTTTGTTTTTTTTGTTAATGAGCTCAAAGATGGAATTTTTCATGATATCTTCAAGTTTTTTCCTCATATTCCAACCCACCCATAGTCACAGATTATTTGATCTACTTGTCCGAAATTACAAATTCTGAATCAATGACATGATGAGAAACAACATTTCAGCCGTTTATCTTCAATAGTTTCTCAGATATTGTCGTTCAAACAGCCTGAAATTTCAAAACCTGCTGAAAATAGGTTGGGCAGTTTAAAACAACAGACAGTGAACCAGAGGTGGGCGAACAGACGGCCCCCGATGACTTCAGATGGAACAACACACCAGTGTTCTGGTTCTGGCAGGTCCAGAGTCCGTTTGTGTGATCCAAGTGTGATGATTGCGCTCCCAGGCCCGGAGCCGACCTCCACCCTCAGGCCTAATCACTGATCCCAGCTGATGTCACATCTGCACTGTTTGATGTGTGACTTCATGAGGGCTGAAAATAATAAAAGCAGGAGTGGGACTATTGTGACCGAACGCATTGCCGGGAAACGACACCAAACAATCTGTATTTTTAAAAGAATGTGTTCAATATTTGGACTTTTGTTCTGTTCGCAGTTGTTTGATTCATCTTTGTGACTTTAGTGTTTGTTGTTAAGAGTCGAGGAATCCATGAACATCTGTAGGTTTAATGCAAACATCTGTTGACGCTCCAAACAACAAATAAATGTCCTCAGCTTCTCACAGACCATTTAGAGTGGCTGGAAATCCTCAGCTGGATGGAGGTCTGGACTCTGACTGGGCCTCCAGAACTTCACCTTGTTGTCTT